AATAGGGGGCAAGGATCACCTTTAACGGAGTCTGCCATGGTCAGTGCCTCGTTCGTTACTTTTATCGTGTCTTCTCGAGGTCTTCACAGACTCCGAGACGGTGTGTTGGGAATTACTGAGATAAAACCATGAAGAAGTAGGACTGACATTGCACGCGTTGCGATCTGGGGTACACGGCGGGGCTGTTTCTGCTCCGCTGATTGCGTTACCAGACGGTTGGATGATTTTCTTCTGCAACCTTTCCTCTGAAATGTGTTGTAGTGTCGCTCTATAGTGATTCGCTTTGTGGTCTTCTAGGTTGTGACACCGTGTAGGCTAGACTGTAGGTTCTTACCAGCATTTAAAACTAAGTAGGTTGAACCAAAATGAGACTTAAGAGGGCATGTTTAGGAATCCCCTACACGCGATAACGTTAATGGAAGTACCTTATAAGAACACTCAGTCTGTTCCTTCAAAACTAGTAGCTGATAAACATTGGAAATTGAACTAGTAATTACTTCCTGAATCGATAGGTGTGCAGAACTATCATGAAATGAAGAGAAACTGAATAATTTGTGTTAATAAATATTGACATGTGGTTAGTAATGTGTAAGTATGAATTCAGATTTTTCGGATATTTCAGGACGCTGGTTTAGCTACAGAAGTTGTGTGGCGTCGAATGAGATGATGTGGTCGTTGATGTCATATCGGCCTGTGCCAATTCAGATTCAGGTGGTTGTGACGTATCTGAAATCTCTAGCTCAGGGAGGCTGAAAAATCACGAGAACCTTAGGATAGCATCGGCCCGGAGTTGATTCCAGTACCACCAGTATGTTTGGTATCGTATAGTAGAAAACGGGCGATGAGCATATAAATTATGTTGAAATGCAATGTGCATGGTTTAGTGATGGGCTTAGTTGCTAGCAGGACTGAAAATTCGACAGAGATTGACAGATTTAGTGCACATCAAGGCATATTTTAATTTGTGCAGACAGAAAGTAAGTCTGTTGAATAGATGCCTCAGGACGATAGGAGGGAGGGCATCTGAAAAGCCTGGCGTAAGGCGATTGTGTTTTGAAGGGATGATGGATTATGAATGTTGGCTGTGTACAGAATGCATGCTGTTAGTTGATGATTTGAAATTAAGACGAGAATATAAATACTTCGAAACGTAGTTAGCGGGGAGTGATGCCCCCGTTTTACGCGAGGTTCAGTTCCAGAATAATACTTGAGATGCACTAGTTCATCTTCTATGTTCTTACCGCAGGTCTGCCCTAAGTCAGAGTGTCTGTTTACTGAAACATGCTGCTCAGCGGATCGGTCTTCATGCCTTTGGAACTTGGGCCTCTACCAGAAGCCATGCTCCTTGAGGGATTTAGACCTGAAGGATGGGGAGATAGGGAGGAAAACTGTATCCCCTTAAAGGATAAGAAACATCAGATATTGATCCAGACAAAGTCTCTTTCGTCCGCAGTATGTGTATAAAACCGCGTGTGGCTGAAAGTATTATGAGCTACATTATTATTTATGTATCTATGTGGATGGGGTAAAGTATTAAATATTTCTGTAATTTCTGTTCTTTGCATGAAGTTTATAAATTAATGCACAATTTACGTAAGAAATCTTGGAATAGGAAATCATACCCAAACACTGCCATGAGACTTGTTTAAGCTTTCAAGCTGTGACGTGACAGGTCCCTCAATAATGAAGCGGTATATAAACGTAGAGCCAGCTTTATTTTACAAATACTCATCAGTTTCGCCCACAGCCTACCGCAGTGGGCAAGGGTGTTTCTGTAAGATCAAGTTGAGTTTATGCTGAACCCCGCTCAATCATG